ACGTGTTGCTGATGCACCTTTAAAAAAATAACCCTTAAGGCAAATAAAATAGCTGTTTACCTGATTGATAATAATTTTTGTATTTGTTATTATCTTTTCATTAAATTTTGTTCCTTTTTTAACATGGAGTCTTCACGAAGAGTAAGTGCAAGGATTGGTTTATGTCTTTGAATAGTTTGTTGATTAGTAAAATTAGTTTATAAAAGTTTTAGCTTTAAAATATCGATGACTAACAAAATTTAATGATTCATGCAAAAATAACTTTTATTGGATAACCTTAGTATTCTGCAATAAGAGAGAAACCTAGTACTTGTACACATTTCAAAGATTTGTTTATTTTTTTTTTACTAAAGTATTTTTGTTATGTTCTTTTACATATTTTATACTAATGTAACAACTTTTTTTGCAGACTGAAAGTAATCTTAGTATTTCATCGATTGTTTCTGATTCTAATTTAAAAGAAGACGACACGGACACAGTGATAAAATCAAACGCCATGTTAAAAATTTTGCTGGAAGCAGCATCTGACACAAACGCAGAGAATTTAGCACTTGGTAGTGAAATTTCAGAATTGCTCAGTGCTCTGAAATTTGATCTGAAATTATTACCCCCTGATATCAGAGATGGGTTACAGACAGTAGTTGCAATTTTAAAGTCGGAAGGATTAGCATCTGTGGATGAGACAATGTTGACATTGTGTTTGGAGAAGAAAAAAATTGAGAACAAAATGAAGGAAAGGGAAGAAAGATTATTAAGAGCAAAATATAATTATGCATTTACCAAATACAATGCTTTTGAATGCAAGTTGAATCAATTAAGAAAAGAAATTGAAGAGGTTGAAGACACCTTGCAAGAAAAGATATCCAATGATGAAAATGAAGAATCTAATAGGATATTATGGTCAAGTCGATTGCATGATTACAAAGATACTGTTAAGAAGCTTGAGGAAGAACTAAATGAATTAAACATTAAAGAAATCGGGATAGAGGCGATACAGCAAAAATCTTCAATTTTAATGGAGAAACTGAATGATCTTGTAGAGTTAGATCAAGAACTTTCAAAATATAAAGACTTGCCTCCTAATCTGTTACAAGCAAAAAATGCTCTAGAAAATAAAAGAAAGGAGCAACAAGCTGTTGAAAATGCACTGCATGAGATATTGAGTTAATTTTAAATATATTATTTGATTTTTATTAATAGTAAGAGTTAAAAACCAATCAAGTACTTGATTCCAAATTTATTTATTTTTTTTCATTTTACACTGTTATTGAATAAAAAAATTCAAGGTGCTTAATTTACTCCTGCATTTTCTGCATCTGCAAACAGTTGTTACATGGCCTTGTCACTACCGTGTTACTATATACTATTATGTACATATTTGTACAGTTTTCTTAAAAAATATAAATAATGAATGGTGATTTCTATTTTCAGTATTATCTGTAATTTATTTTCATAAGAGAAATATAACTGTAAGAGTGTATACTCAAATTTGCACCATCATAGTAATAAATAGAAGAATACACAGGTATGTTTTAAATGTTTGTAACTTTATCTGATACATATTTACAAAATACATTATAAATCTATTTTTTATTTATTATTAAAATATAAGTTAAATCTACATGTTTTTACACGTTCTTTTTCTTTTAATTTGTAAGTATACTGCAGTAACATTCTATCATGAGCAAACAATTTTTACAAGAGCACATTTAAAAACCGTATTTTGACCGTGTAGCTTGTCTATTAGCCTTGTTTTGGGCCCACTGGTTCTTTAATTCCAATTCCATAGCTTTGGCTTGATGAGCCAAGTATGTGATTTGATGTTTTTTCTTAGATTGTCCACCAGGACCTGAACTAATAGAGATAGGTCGGTGAGTTTGCTCTTCTGTGAGTGCTTTGACAAGCCATTCCCTTTCATCTGGCTTGATGTCGTCACCACTAATTTCTACTACATCTATTTTACTCAGTTCATTCTTTCTTTTAACACCACGTTTTCCACACAAGTATTCGATGGCTTTTTCATCAAAAGCAACATTGCCTTCTGAATCTACATGGTACTCTTGCTCTGGAATGGGTAACTTTGGACCAACTTCTGCTTTATTTTTCAATATTATTTCTTCTTTAGAAATATCCATTACATTATTTCTAAGAATTTTTCTTGAATCATCTTCTGACTGTTGTATAGTATTGTCGTTGTGAAGTAAACTACTAGACATACTTGAAGAGGAAGCTGTATCATCAATCATATCAATGCTGCTCATAGGTAACAATTGATCAGGAATTTTTGCTGGTGTGGATAAGGAAAAGAAGTCTGATGACGATCCTTTTTCATCATCGTCTTCTGAATCAGAAGTATAACTAGACAAAGATGTTAATGTTGAAGGTTTTGCTTGGCTAACAGGTTTTTTCATGGTAGTCCTATTTAGAGGTTGTGGAATCAAAGGCTTGGATTCAATTGTTTTTCTTGTCAAAACATTAGGCAACATTGAAGTAGCCTTTGTCAACGATATTGAACCCTTTGGTGGTGGTAGTATCCCAATAAGACCTGACTGTTTCTAAAATTTATAATAATCAACGTTAGTTTTCATGTACAATTAATTTTTATATTTCATGATTTATAATACGGTAATATTTGTACATTACATTAGATGCTTTTACTGTATGTCTTTTAGAAGCGTCGTCCTCTTCTTCTAAGTCCTTAAACTAAAAGAACAGTAGTCAATAAATATAAAGCTTATTAGAAGTATGTTCTAGACTTAACATAGAACAGGATGCAGCTATTTTTTGTCCGGTTAGGTTAGGTCCTGAATAAATTGATGGTACAATTTATTCAAGAGTTTAAGCAAGATACGTGACTCTCTTACATCTGATAGAGATGGAATGGATATTTTTGCAGGTCCTTTGTTCTTTTTAGGTGGCATTTCAATACTGCCATAATCAATTTTTTTGGGAACAGGTACACTGTCAGCTTCCTTGATTTCGTCAACGAGAATCATCTTAGGCTTGGGCAGGACATTAAAATCTGGTAAGGCCTCGTCTGTGGAATACTCAGTGTTATCACTACTCGAGTCTTGATTTTGATCTAATTTTGGAATAGGCAAATTTAACTTGGCACTTTTTTGTCCATCCTTAATTGCCGAAGTTTGAGTTTTATCATGCGTTGGGATTTCTCTGTTTATATCGGCAACATTCTCTGATTTTGAGGCAGACGATTTTGGAACATCATTGCTTTTCTTTTCATTTGGTGCAGCCAAAGCTGGATTTTTCGTTTCTACTTGCGGCTGGTCGTTGTATTCGTCTTCATTTTCACTCTCATCACTACTGCCATACGCCACGAGGCTCATTGTTTTTAATTTCTGTATTGTTTTATTTAACGAAATTTGTAAACTTTTCTAAATTAACAGAGTATATGACAATTTTTTGACACTATATAGAATAGCAGAAACTGATGTGTGTTTACGTTTTTGTTTTAAGGTTATGTATGTGTATATGTACCATTTGAATATTTGACAGTCACAAAATTGATAAGACAGGTATTCCTGTGTCCAGCTGTTAGTCAGCGATTGAGTACTATGCTCTTCAGCAAATCAGTTACAGATGACGTAAGTACTAGTAAATTTATTTAATGCCCGCTACTTATATGCCGCAAGTATATATTCTGTCATAAGAATTTGATTTGGTGATTAAATATTCATCATAACGTAACGAAAGTTGAAAGTTTGTATCTCTTAAGTACATGAGGACTTTGTGAGTTTACAAAAAAAATGTAGTTTATGAGGTCCTTGTTATTTTTTCTCTAAATATTATAAATAC